GGGGCCGAGGCCACCCAGGCTGTGTGCGGGGCGCGGGCTCAGGCGAGGTTGGGCGGGCGGGGCCGGGATGGGGCAGGGGTGGGGCCAGGCGGGACCGAGGCAACCCAAGAGTGTGCAGGATGCGGGCTCGGACGGGGCTGGGCGGGGCGGGGGCGGGACTGAGGCGACCCATGGGATGTGCAGCATGCGGGCTCGGGTGAGGCTGGGTGGGTGGGCGCGGCCAGGGCTGGAGGAGCCAGGGGGCGTGGCTTGGGAAACTGGGTGGGCGAGGCCAGGGCGACAGGCTGGGCTGGGGAAGAAACTGACCGGGTGGGAGGAGCCAGGAGCTGTGGGCAGAACCCGAGGGAGCTTGTGGTATATTTTCAGTATTAGTACTGGCAGGGAGGCCTGTGGGCGTGGCTAAGGAGGGAGGAGTCAGGGGCGGCCTGGGAGAAATGGATTGGGTACCGGAGGGGAGGAGTCGTATAGGAGGTGGTGGCATTGAGAAGTCGGGAGGGAAAACATCGAGTGGGCGGGGCCGACACAGGAGGATCCAAGAGAGGGCCGTGGTGGGAGGGGCTGGGGCTGGGAGAGAAACCGATGGGCGGGGCCGGGGGGAGAAGCTGAGCAGCTGGAGGGGCTAGAGGGATGTACAGCAGGAGGGCGGGACCGAGGGAGAAGGAGCAGGTAACTGGGGCTGAAGAGAGTCGGTGAGCAGGGTTGAGTGAAGGTGAGGAGGTGGGACCAGGACTGCAGGCTGCTGAGGGGCGGAGCCAGAGTAGAAGCAGCCACGGGGAGGGGTGGAGCGCACGCGAGAAGGAGGAGCCAGTGGGCGGGGGCGGGACTTCAGGGCTGGCTGGTAGGTGAACCTCTATGTTCAACCCTATTGTATCACACAGAGGGCTTCAGAGGCTGGGAAGTGGAGCACGGCGGGAATGGCTGGGCCGTGGAAAAGAACGTAATTCTGGTGCCGGGGGCCCCTTCCCAGACCTGCTTCGTGACGTCTTTCGAGTGAGTAGCCCCTGCTCCCTGGGTCAAGGGCCCGAGGCAGGGAGGGAAAATCCTACCCCACCCCATCCCACCGTCCTTACCCTCACCCTAATCCACCTTCACCTTCCCTCATTCATTCATTCAACAAATACTTGTTGAGGGCCTGCCAGGTACCAGGCACTGTTTTATATGCCAGAGGTACAGGGAAAAATCAGAAATATCAGGAACCTGCTTTTTCCATTTACATTTTAGATGTAGGGTTGGGGGCGACGTTAAGCACGTAAACAGCAAAATCACAATGACACAGCGAACACTGATAGGGCTTACTCTCTGGCAGACGTTGTTCTGAACGCTTTATATGTAACTCTTAATTCTCACAACAACCCTGTGGGGTACTTTTATTGTCCCCATTTTATAATAGGACACTGAAGCACAGGGGGGACTCAACATCTAGTAAATGGTGGAGCCGGGATTTGAACCAGGTAATCTGGCTCCAGAGTTTCTGATTGTGATAAATGCTATAAGGACGCCAAAACAAGATGATTAATTGATCCTCTTTTATCCTCATACCCCATACCCATCCTCCCCCGTCGCGCCCCATAGGCAACAACTGTAATGTGGCATTATCCAGCTTTCTGATTGTTGCTCCTATGTTAAGGATGCAGTGATATCCCCTTGCTGTTTTAATTTGAATTATTTACTAGTAATTAAGCATTTCTTCATCTTCTTGTTAGCTTTTTGGATTCCCTTTTTTGTAAATTGCCTGTTTATATTTTCTATTACGGTTGATGTCTTTTTCTTGTGGATAGGAATGAATTCCTTGTGTATTCTAGATGCTAGTCCCTTGCCTGTCCTCAGTATTGCAGAAAATCTCCCACTCTGCCACCTGTATTCACTGCGTCCATGGGGTTGTTGGGCAGAAATCTTTTACTGTGATCAAATTCACCTTTTGTTTCGCCTTTAGTTAGAATGTGTTTTTGAAATCTGTTTGAAAAGTCCTTCCTCACCACTAGATCATAACAAATATTGTCTAATAGTCTCTTCTAATGACCTCATGGTTTTTACCTTTCACCAAAACCACAACCCGTTGCCGTCAAGTCGGTTCCGACTCGCAGCGACCCTATAGGACAGTGTAGAACTGCCCCATAGGGTTTCCAAGGAGCGCCTGGTGGATTTGAACTGCCAACCTTTTGGTGAGCAGCCATAGCACTTAACCACTGCACCACCAGGGCTCCTACCTTTCACTGTTAGGTCTTTAATCCATGTTTGAGTGTGCTGTTATGAAAGATCATGTTTTTTTCTCCCCCATATACTGAGCCAGTTTTTCCAACACCATCAACTAAAGAATCTGTCTGTTCCCCGCTGATTGGTGGTGCTACCGCCTTCATTTATGACGTTCTTGTACACACCTAGGTCTGTGCCTGAGCACACTTTTCTATTGTGTTGTCAATTTATCTGTTCCTCCGCCAGCACTCCACTATTTCTGATGGCACCATTCAAACTAGGAGAAAGGGACCGTTTACCAAGGTGTAGGCAGATCTCAAGGGACAGGTACTGTGTGACCCCAAGCTAGTTTGCCATGGAGGGAAGGGACATTGCCACTCCTGGGCCTGAAAGGGCGAGGAGAGGAAGCGGTTACTGAAACACGAAGACAGAGAGGGCTGTGCGAAGACAGGGCCTGACGGAGCTGTGTCCTTTGGCTGAGGGACACAGCAGGCCCGTGGTGATCCGGTGGTGGAGAGGGAGGAGGATAAATACCCTGATTTGATTCTCTCCCCTCCCTTCTATCTCCTGCTGGAGCTTTCTACTGGCTGACCCGACAGGAAGCAGAGGGTAAGGGAGACCGGTCCACCACGCAGGCCATACAGCCTTAGAGCTTGGGCCTCGCAATGGAGAAAACCAAAATCCAGACCAACTGTCATCGAGTTGATTGTGACTCACGGCACCTCCGTGTGTGCCGTGAGTGGGTTTGAACTGCCTGTTAGTAGTGGAGCACTCCTTAACTGATGGTGCCACCCAGGAAGGCCCCAGGAGTCCCTGCTCAGACACCTAGGGGGTTGGCTTCCGTTTGTACTCATGTCCAGGCCCCCACAAATAATAAGGGTGGGTTTGCATGCAGCTCGGCCTCCTGGAGCCCAGAGCAGGGCGCAGAACGGTAGAGGGGATGTGAGAGGCAAACAGGGAGGCCACGAATCATGAATCTCCGCGTCTTGTAGAGCAAACCCCGAGGGGCTGCTTTAGACAGGGTTATCAGGGGAGGCTTCTTGGAGGAGGTGATTTCTGGGCTGTGACTCAAGTCGAGAGAGAACCGTGTGAAGGTCTGAATGAGCCAAGGGCGTGCCTACCCCACCCCCACCACCCTCCCTTCCCAGATGGTGCTTCAAGAGGCAGCTTGTGGACCTGGTGATGGAGGGTGTGTGGCAGGAGCTGCTCGACAGCGCACAAATCGAGATCTGTGTAGCCGACTGGTGAGTAGGGAGCGACTGGTGAGTAGGGAGCGGCAGCTTGTTCGCGGAGCACCAGCTGTGGCGGCAGCCGTTCTGCAGAAGCGACGCAATTGGAGCCCCCGCCAACCCCGAGGGGTGACTGCCCTTAGGCGCCGCTTCTTAGTGAGGCCGAGAGGTGAGGTGACGCTTTCATAGGTGTGGAGCCGGGGGGGCGGAGCCTTTGTGAGCAGGGCCCCTACCCTGCGCTCCTCCCCACCGTCTTCCCAGAGGGACCGGGGTTGTTGACATGGGGGCCACCGACTCTGTCGGCTCAGTCTGAAACAAGGTGCCCCCCTCCCCTTCCCACTGCCCCCCACTCAGAGCTGATCCTAAGGGCTTGTGGATGCCCGAGGCCTCCGAAGCCTTGGGAGCATTGTGCCCTGAGCACTGAGGTTCAGAGGAGCAGAGTTGGGACAGGGGTGCTGGGTGGCTTCCAGCCTGTGGGCTTACCACGAGCCCTCTCCTTTCCAGAGTACCCCGCTTCTTCCCCTGTCTCTTGCCGGGGAACAGTGGGGAGATCACCAGGCTGCTCCCTGAGCTGTGGCCACCCCCAGAGCATCCAGGCTCCTCCCCAGGAGCACTCAGGCTCCTCCCCCTAGGTTCCCCGGCCAAATCTCTCCGCCTGTGGGGCGGGTGTTGGGGCCCTCATCAAGGTTCAGGGAGGCCCAGTCCTCAGCCCCCTCCCCGCCCCCAGAGAGCTGGTGGGTGGTGGGGGCATCGAGGCTCACTGCCACCCGGCAGGTGGGGCGCCCGGGAGAACTGCGGCTGCATCTACCGGCTCCGGGTCCGCCTCCTAGACGTGTATGAAAACGAAGTGGTCAAGTTCTCCGCCTCGCCCAACCCGGTCCTTCAGTGGACTGAGAGGGGCTGCCGACAGGTGTGTCCAGACTGCCTTACCGATCACCCCTGACCCGCTCAAAGGCACACACACCCCAGCCTCACCCTGCTCAATCTCCATTCTCAGCTCTCGCCGTCAGCTAGCCTAACAATCACTGGGAGCCCCTGGGTGGTGGAAACAGTTAAGCACTCGGCTACTAGCTGACAGGTTGGTGGTTCGAACCCACCCACAGGCACCTCAGAAGAAAGGCCTGGCGATCTGCTTCCAAAAGGTCACAGCCTAGAAAACCGCATGGATTCTGTACCCGTGGGGTCGCCATGTGTCAGAAATGACTTGACAGCAACACTGAGTTCTTATTGCACCCCAGGCTGTTTCAAAAGCTTTTTACGTCTTGATTCATTTCCTTAGCACAATGGCTGGTTGTCTGGCACACATTTATTGAGCACCTACTATGAGCCCTGGTGGTGAAGTGGTTAAGAGCTCAGCTACTAACACGTAGGTCGGCAGTTTGAATCCACCAGCCGCTCCTTGGAAACTCTATGGGGCAGTTCTACTCTGCCCTATAAGGTTGCTATGAGTCGGAATCGACTCCATGGCAATGGGTTTGGTTTTTTACTGTGTGCTGGGAATGCAGCAGTGAATAAAAGTCCTTGCCGTCTCCTCACTGTAAAGCTGAGCAAACTGAGGCACAAGGAGGTTAAGTGAGGGGCCTGAAGTCACACCAAGGCATTCAGGGCCCATTCAAGGCCAGGCTGGCTCCCACAGTGACCACCGCACCTCAGTTACCAAAGTGACCTCTTAGGTGGTCTTCCTGCTTCCTCCCTTTCCCTCCTCCCACCCCCCACAACACCAAGAAAGATCCCACTAAAAACTGAGTCCGATCACAACTCCCTAGCTCACTGCCCTCCCGGGACTCCATCTCAGAGTAAAAGCCCAGCAGGCCCTGCCCAACACGCCCCCTTACTTCCCTGACCCCACCGCCTGTTTCTCCCCGCCTCGCTCACTCTGCTCCACTCACTCTCCCCTCTGGGGCCTTTGCACGGGCTGTTCCCACTGCCTGTGACGCGCTTCACCCAGATCCGCAGCTGGCTCCCCCTCCTGCAGGTCTCTGCTCCAGTGTCACCTTCTCACTTTACGGGCCCCTCTCCCCCGCCTGCCTTGCTCAGGGGTCTAGGTCCCCCACTAGGCAGGGGTATGTGCTACTTTCTTCTGTGCTGTACGCCCAGCACACAGAGCAGGGCGTGGTGTCTGCTCAGTCCTTGGTGAATATTTGTTGGGTGGGGGGGAGGCAGGCGCCCACAAGCCCTCACCCTCTTGCTCTCCGTGACCCTACAGGTCTCCCACGTCTTCACCAACTTCGGCAAGGGCATCCGCTACGTGTCTTTCGAGCAGTACGGGAGAGACACGCGGTCCTGGGTGGGCCACTATGGTGCCCTGGTGACCCACTCCAGCGTGAGGGTGCGCATCCGTCTGTCCTAGCGACCAGCCCGCTGAGGCCTCCTACAACATACCGGGGCTGCCCGATGCCATCGTTCATCAGGGACTTTGCAGCCAGGAGCCAGAGATGCCCAGGGACAGTGGGTCCCGTCTGGCCTGTTCCGGGCATGCCCTCCCTGTTACCCCCTTGCTGCTGCGTCAGCAGGGTGGCCCACGTGCTGTGTCCATCCATCCAGGGAGCCCACCAGCCTTTTCACGGCTTCCTCAGCTCCCCCGGTGGGGGCATCAGACTCAGAGACTGCTAGTTAGCTTGCCGTTGGTAGACTGAGTCAGGCAACAGCGGGGGGAGACCTGACAGCCTGGGAGCAGGGAACCTTGGCTGTGTTTCTGGGTAGGCTGACTGCTGGCAGGGAGCAGGGGTCAGCCGGGGGTTCAGCCGCGGGGCAAGTAACCAGCCGTCTGCGCTACCCTGTCGGCACCTCGTTCTGGGCCAGACTGGCGTTTCTTGTGAATTCCTCAGAGACAGGCCCCCTGTACTTCTCCGCTGACCCCTGAACTCTGTCCCCTGCCCCCACTTCCTGCCAGGCAAGCCTCTCCTTTCTCTGCCTGGATTCAGTGCAAGGCCTGCCCTGAAGAGACTCTCCGCCCCTCCCCTCCCACCCCCATCCCCGATTTCTCCCAGTTTCCCAGCCGGCACAGCCAACACACCCAATAAAACTGGTGCTAACTGTGAGCTGACGGGCAATTTCTGTCTGCAGTCGATGAGCGTGACCGCCCCCAGCTCGGATCCTACAAGGCCTTGTGGATGTCTCCAGTCATGAGAGCTTTAGGACGGCTGTGTGCAGAGGGCCGGGAGGGACACGGAGGTGGCTCAGAGAACCCTGACACGGTTGTGCTGACAGCGTTGTTTAGCGGCTCCCACGTCTGTTCTCAGCGGCCCTTCCCACAGCTCTTGGGCAGGTACCCCCATCAATGCCATTTAGTCCAGGAGGTAGCAGGCTGGGGGTCTGAATGCCCTGCTCAGGGTCTCACGGCCACTAGGTAAGGGAGGCGGGGCATGAGCCAGAGTGGGGTTCCAGAGCCAAGGATCTGAGCACAGCTCCCCTGTCTGCTGTGCCAAGCAGGAGCTCATCTCATTTAAACCAAACCAAACCCACTGCTGTGGAGTCGATTCTGACTTGCAGCAACCCTACAGGGCAGAGTAGAACTGCCCCATAGGATTTCCAAGGCTGTAAATCTTTATGGAAGCAGACTGCTGCATCTCTCTCCCACAGAGCAGCTGGTGGGTTTGAACTGCCGACCTTTTGGTTGGCAGCTGAGCGCTTTAACCACTGCACCACCAGGACTCATCTCATGTAATCCTCACAAAACCCCCACTAAGGTCAGTATCACTCCAAGCGCCACTTTCCAGGGGAGGAAACAGACCCAGAGGGGGCACGTAACATACCTGAGGTCACACAGCAATTAAGAGGGGGAGGCAGGGTTTGAACCCAGGTCTGCCTGAGTCTGACAATAATACAGAATAGCAGCTCCCTTTATGAAGCGCGCACGCATACACACACACACGCGTGCTGCTATTCTGTACCAAGCGTGGAGCCCTGGTGGCACAGAGGTTAAGAGCTTGGCTGCTAACCAAAAGGTCGGCAGTTCGAATCCACCAGCTGCTCCTTGGCAACACTATGGGGCAGTCCTACTCTGTCCTCTAGGGTCACTATGAGTCAGAATCGACTCCACACACAACAATGTATGAAGCAGTGGATCCATTTAATCCCTTCAATGTCAATGTTACAATTACCACCATTTTCCAGATGGGGAAGCTGGAGGGCAGGCTTCACCTGCTCAGGTCCCATGCCCGTAGGAAGTGTAATGGGGACTCAGTGCCACCTAACTGACTTAAAACAGGATTACTGTCTGTGTATGTCACGCACACAGGTCATCTCGCTTAATCTTCAAGAAACTCAACAAAGGGAGCATTGTGAGTGGGGCCATTTTCCAGGGGAGGAAACTGAGGCCCAGAGGGGATCTCAGGTGCCAGCTCTGCAGGAGGCAGAGGACAAGTACAGCCGGAGGGCGCCATTTACATCACAACCGTGGGAGCCTGTGTTTATTACAACCCCTTCCCAGCAGATGGCAGTACAGTGTCCCGGCCCAGCAGAAAGGGAACCTCATGCCAACGCTACATGTGGAAGCCGAGAGTCTTGACAGAAGAGTGCCTTTTTCTCATTCACACCCAGGCCCCTATGGGCTAACGGTGGTCCTGCCGGGAGAAGCAGAGGCAGGATTTGAATCCAGGACCGGCTGCTGGAATTGTGTCCCAAGGGCCCTGCTGGAGCCTGGAAAGTTTTGTTCTGCAGGGACGCCCAGCCCCACAACGCCCCGGCGGTCACTTCTTCTTCTGCACGTGGCCACAGTCATATTTGCCGCGCACAACAGTGAGCTTGACGCCGGGCAGGTCCTGGGTGCGGCCGCCCTGCACGAGGACGATGTGGTGCTCCTGCAGGTTGTGGCCCTCTCCGGGGATGAAGCAGACAGCCTCCTGGCCTGTGCTGAGCCGTACCCGGCAGCACTTGCGGTTGGCCGAGTTGGGCTTCTTGGGCTTGCGGATGAACGTGCGCAGAACTACGCCTTTCAGCTGCGGCCGGCCTTCCGTGGGGCCCAGCTTCCGGGGCTGCCGCTTTGGGGGTCCCTGGCGGTGCATCTGGTTCAGGGTGGCCATGGGGCGGGTGGCCCAGAGCCGGGGAGCCAGGGCCAGGCCTGGGGAGACACGGCCGGGAAGGCGGAAGAGAGTTGTTATCCTAACAGATAATCTGGTGTTCCATGCGCTGCTCCAAGCACTTTACAAGGATACATTTGTTTACGTCTGGGGGTGTTCTACTCCCCCAAAATCAACCATTGAAAATCCTCTGAATAGACTCGACGGCAACTGATTTTTAGGGGTATCTAAAGATAACAGTAAGAATAGACCAAAAAAAACCACAGCAGCTGCCATCGCGTCAATTCCAACTCATGGCGACCCCATGCGTCAGTGCAGAACTGTGCTCCACAGGGTCTTCAATGGCTGGGAGCTTTCTGAAGCAGATCGCCAGCCCTTTCTACCGAGGCGCCTCTGGGTGGATTTGAACCGCCCAACTTTTGGTTAGTAGCCAAGCTCTTAACCATGTGCAGCATCCAGGGAGACACAACAGCAAGACATTCACTGCGCTACCACCACCTCTCAGAGTCTGTTTGAAGCATTTTACATGAATGAACTGATTTTATTCTCTAAGAAAGGTATTAATTTTTAACACTGCTTAAGAATAACACAAGTGATGCCCTGCTGCCAACTTCTCAAATGGTGGGGGGATGGTGGGAGAAACTTTCAGTTACACCGTATATATCAGGACTCCTTGGGTGGCACAAACGGGTAACACCTGGCTACTGACCAAAAGGCTGGCAAGTCAAATCCACCCAGAGGCGCCTCAGAAGGAAGGCCTGGTGATCTGCTTCTGAAAAATAACCAAACCTGTTGCCGTCAAGTCGATTCCGACTCATAGCGACCCTACACAGCCACTGAAAACCCTGCGGAGCACAGTTCTACTCTGAAAGACACAGGGAAGTCACGAGTCGGAATCAACTCAACGGCAACTCGTTTTGGTTATATAATAATTGAGAGTATATGAAGTCATTGTATAAATTTCCAAAAAATGTTACAGTTTTATTTGTTCTATCAGTGTTAAACATGTTACTTACCATCAAAATAAAAATTAAAAAATTATTAGCCTTTTGGCATAACTAAAAAAAGAAAAATAATAATAACACAAGTGAACACGGGTGCTAACACTGTGCCGAGTGCTGTCCTGTGCGTTTTACATGTATCAGCTCGTGTGCTCCCCACAGCAACCCTGTGGGGGGCTCCTTGGAGGGGTCACAGTCTCCTGTCACCCAAGTCATCAGCACATCCTGTTAGCACAACCCTCCAAGCTGATCAGCATCTGCCCCTTTCTCCCTCCTCTGCTGTGCTCACCTTGGCCTTGGCCATCCTGCTCCCCGCTGGACTCCGGCATTGTCCTCCTCACTGGTCTCCCAGCTCCTGGCCCGTCCCTCAATGTGTTCCCCACACGCACCTGAGTCAATCGTGTCCCTGCCCTGCTCACAGCCCTCGCGTGGCCCTGTCTCACTCAGGGGCGAAGGCCCCACACACGCTGCCCCAGTCACTGCCCTGACCTCATCTCTCCACCTGCTCTCTTGCTCACTCTGTGCAAGCCGATGTCCCCAAACACTCCACGGAAAGGAGACCAGTGTGGCTGCTGGTGGTCAGTCTCAGCAAAAAGATGAAAGGCAGGCGGGGGAAGGGGATAGATCTGCAAGGTGACCCAACAGGATTTGCTCATGGAGTGGATGGCGGGGGTAAGAAAATTCAAAGATGCCTGGATTCTCTTCAACAAACACCCATCGAGCACCTGTTGTGTCCTGGCCCCAGGAATGAAGGCATGGGGGTGACAGACCTGGACTCTGCACTCGCAGGACTCATGGTCCAGGGCTCTGAGGCCATGATTCTGTCCATCAATGCACCCCTATGCCTCCTCCTCTGTCAACTAGCGCCGGCGCCCTTTTACGACCCAAACTTCCCACTCTCCCCCAGATCCAGGGCAGGGCTGGGCCCTACTGTCCATTCCCACATCTCCTTGTGTCTAGAGTTGCCACAGAATCCCCAAAGGGGATGAAACAGTCTGCCCCTTCATAGTGGCATGCCCTTGGGCAAGATTCTTTGCCTCTCACTGTTTCCTCATCTGTATGGCGGGCACCAGAATCAGCCTCTCTCCCGACACTGTGTGTGTGAGGCTACCATGAGACACTGCATGTCAAGCTACCCGGATTTCCCGAGGCAGGGCCCAGGCCTTGGTGACTGGCAAACAGGTGTTGAATAAAAGTTTGCATAGTGACAAGTGCATGAAATACTTCACATAGGGCATGGCCCCAGAGAAGCATTTGATGTCTGTGGAAGGAATAAGTGCATAAATAAAGGGTCCTGCCCAGTGCCTGGTACACACTCCAAAACCCAAACCCATTGCCATCCAGTCTATTCCAACTCATAGCGACCCTATAGGACAGAGTAGAACTGCCCCGTAAGGTTTCCAAGGAGCAGCTGGTGGATTCGAACTGCTGACCTTTTGGTTAGCAGCCGAGCTCTTAACCACTGCACCACCAGGGCTCCCTGACACACACCAGACTCTTGAAAAATTCGTCAGTTCAAGAACAGAGCGTGTGGGGCCTTTTACCCTCGGTGACACAGAACCACGTCTAAAACCCAAGTCTCACTCACGGAAGGTATTGGATAAATTAACATTTAATGAAGAAATAAATGATTGCCCAGGCTCCTGGTACTCGCCGGACGCAAAGCAAGCCCTCAGTGCAACTAATTAACGCCTCCCACCTCTTGCCCTTGCAACCCGAGCTCCACCAAAACCCACCGTGAATCCATCCCTGATTTAAAATCCCGATTCCCTTGGGGCTGCAGAGGAGGCAATCAAGTCCCGGCGGTGATAACCCTCATGCAGCCCCGTCTCTGCGACCCGAGCCCTCCACTTACCACAGCTCAGGGACGTGTTGAGGCCACGCAGAAGGCCAGACCACGACATCCTGCCGCCTGGAGCGTCCCTGTGTTACGGGATGAGAGGTTTAGAAAGTGGCCGTAGTCGAGCCAGGGTCCAAATTCCTCCCATCCGGTTATCAGAGTCTCTGGTTAAATCTAAGGAAGTCCCTCTAAAGATCTAACCACAACCCCTCACGCTGCTAACAGGAAGTCCTTCAGTAAATTTAGCCTCGCTCGGAGTAGGCTCCCAGGGATCCAACCACTCCCACCCGCTACAGGAGGAGAGGGAAGACTGGTAAGAGCCCCGGGAGGTATGAAGCACCCGAGGATTCCACCGACCTACCGACCCCTAGCAGGGTCCGCAGACACGATGAATCCGGCCTCTAGCCCCTTCCGGAGGTTATCCCGACGGTGATTGGCTGGTTCTGCCGCTCATGCAAAGCGAAGGGGCGGGGAAGAGGCGGCGATTGGTCAAAGACGGAGTCAATCTCCGTCAACCATCCTCACTGAACTGCTCCGAGGCATAGTTTCTAAGGCTTTCTCTTTGAAAAGGCTCGCCCCTTTCACGGTCTGATTGGTTCGTCACGAGCCCGACGGCGGCTTTGCAATTGGTCTCAAGACGGAGTGGGCGGGACGAAGGGGGCGTATCTCCTTGTCCTCCGTCCAAGATGGCTGCGTCCATGGTGCGGCGCTTATGGCCTTTGCTGGCTAGTCGGGGACTCTGGTCCCGTGGAGGCTGCGCCTGCAACCAGAGCGCAAGGAAAAATTTCGCTACGAAGAGGCAGGACCGGAACCTCCTGTATGAGCACGCGCGCGAAGGCTACAGCGCGCTCCCTCAGCTGGACATGGAGCATCTATGCGCATGCCCGGAGGAGGCCGCGCGCGCCCTGGAGCTCCGCAAGGGGGAGCTGCGGCCGGCGGACGTGCCCGCGATTGTGAGTGCGCTTGCGCGGGCGGGCGAGGACGCTTTGCCTATTGGCTGTTCGCTTTACGCAAGAAATGGGCGCGCAAGACGCTCTCTGCTGGGGGCGGGCTTATTTCAAGAATTTTAGTTCTTTCCTAAGTTTAACAAATTTTTGTGCTGGGCCAGTTGCACACTGGGAGCACTCATGGTGCAGTGGTTGAGAACTCGGCTGCTAACCAAAAGGTCGGCATTGTGAATCCACCAGCCGCTCCTCGGAAACTCCATGGGGCAGCCCTACTCTGTCCTATAGGGTGGCTATGTGTCGGAATCGACTGGACGCCAAGAGGTCGGTTACCCACTAGCTGTTAAGGCCCTACTGTATGCCAGAGATGCCTACTGTGTCCTGAACACTCGTAATGTGCCTGTTTCATAATGCATGCTGGGTACCGCACACTAGGCACTTACTATGGGCCAGTGCCCTCTGTGCTCCCAATCTCATGCCAGGCTTACCCTAAGGCCATAAAAGAAAAAGGGAAGTGAGGGAGTAAATCTGAAGGTTTTGGGGTGGGGGAGGCGGGACTCTTGCCTCGGGGCAGTAGAAGGTGGAGTCTTGCACCTGCTCCACAGGTAGCCGGCAGTTAAGTGTATTTAATGAATGCGTGATCCTGTTGAGAGACGTTTGTGGAACACCATGTTCCAGGTGTTGTGAATAGGTGGTGAATAATAACAACGAAACAGCTAGCACTTACATAAAACTTCGTGTTAGGGGACTAAGCTGGGATTATCATATCTCTAGACCCTCGTGGAGAGCCCTGGTGGTGCAGCCGCTAAGAGCTCGGCTGCTAACCAGAAAGTCAGTAGCTGGAATCCACCAGCCGCTCCTCGGAAATCCTGTTGGGCAGTTCTATTGTGTCTTACAGGGGCGCTATGAGGCAGAATAGGGTTTGGTTTTTGGTTTAGACCCTCCTGGGGTGCTGAGGAGGGAGGGGTCCCCAAGTTCTTCCAGCCCTCTCTTGGGCTCCCCTACCGCGCTGTTCTAAGTACTTCATACATATTCGCCTCATTTAATTTTTCCGACAACCCTGTGAGGAAAGTGCCATTATCTCCCCCATTTTATCATAGTGGAAACTAAGGTTCAGGGAAGTTAATTAACTTGCCTAAGATCACACAACTGATAAATGGCAGAGCAGGAATTTCAGCCCATGCTGTCTGGCTACCAAGTCCACACTCTTAACTGCTGTGCTAGCCAAGTTCGCCTACTGAAAGAGACAGACACATAACATACCATTATAAATATATAATTATATTCTCTGTTAAGTGCTGTGAAGGAAAAGTAGAGGACAACCTAGGAGGGCTTTAAGGGGAGGTGGCATTAGGCAAAGATGTGTAGAACGAGTGAGGATTAGCCTGGGGTGGAGAAGAGGAGTGTTCCACCTGGAGGGACTAGTATGTACAAATGCCTAGAGGAAGGTCAGGATATAGAATTTGGTGGAACTGTAGGTAATTTAGGGAGTTGCTGGATACAAATGGTTAAGGAGCTCGGCTGCTAACTGAAAGATTGGAGGTTTGAGTCTACCTAGAGGTTCCTCAGAAGAAAGTCCTGGCAATCTACTCCCAAAAAATCAGCCATTGAAAAGCCTATGGAGCTCAGTTCTACTCTGACAGCTAGTACTGGTGTGTGTAATTTAGAGTGTCACACCCTGTCTTAGTTACCTAGCGCTGCTATAACAGAAACACCACAAGTGAATGGCTTTAAAAAACAGCAATTTATTCTCTCACAGTTTAGAAGGTTAGAAGTCTGAATTCAGGGCACCAGCTCTGGGGGAAGGCTTTCTCTCTCTGTCGGCTCTGGGGGAAGGTCCTTGTCTCCTTTCAACCTCTGTGGGCCTAGCGTTCCTTGGAGATGTCCATGTGTCTTGGCATCAATCTTCCCCTCGGTCTAGGAGGTTCTCAGTGCAGGGACCCCACGTCCAAACAGTGTGCTCCCCTCCTGGCTCTTCTTTCTTCGTGGTAGGAGATCCTTCTCTCCCTGCTTGCTTCTCTCTCCTTTTATCTCTTGTAAGATAAAAGGTGTGACTCAAGCAAGTGTGTGACTTGAGTAAGGGTGTGATTTGCATCACACCCTCTTGTAAGGCTGTGACTCAAGATACCCCCCCGCACTGATCCTGTCTCATTAACATGCAGAGGTTAGGATTTACAACACATCACAAAATGGAGGATAATTACATCAGATCACGAAGTGGAGGACAACCACACAATACTAGGAACCATGGCCTAGCCAAGTTGTCACATATTTTGGGGGGACACAGTTTGATCCATGGCACATCCTTTAGCAGGGTTTTTCAAACTTTGTGGCCAAAAGTAAGACATTTCACATCCTGACCTAGTACACACACCCCCAAAATTGAAACAAAAATTTCATAGCAATTCTTGATCTTACCATGTGTGATGATGGATCCTTATTTTTTTCTATTACATTCGATTTCACTTTTAAAATGCGGTTTACAGATCCCAAATTTATTTTATAACCCGCTAATAGATTCCATGGAGCCTTGGTGGCACAGTGATTAAGCACTTGGCTGCTGACTGAAAGGTCAGCCGTTCAAACCCACCAGCCACTCTGCAGGAGAGAGATGTGGCAGTCTGTGTCCCTAAAGTTTGCAGCCTTAGAACCCCATGGGGCAGTTCTACTCTGTCCTACAGGGTTGCTGTGAGTTGGAATCGACTAAATGGCAATGGGTTTGGGTTTTCTTTTTTAATAGATCCCAAAGCTTGAAAAACTACTTTTTTAGAGCATAATGTGTGAAGAGGAGTATGGCATGTGGCTTTGCAGGTCATGATTAGATGTGTGGTTTGTTCTAGGGGGCACTGTGGAGTTTTGGATGCTTTTAAGCAGGGGAGGAATAATTCTCTGTCCAGACTGGAGGGGGTGAGCCTGAAGGCTGGGAGGCTGGAACAGGGGTCCTGGTGAGAGATGACAGGGCCTGGAGTGGGGAGGAACAGGGAGATGGTGGGGAGGGAGACAGAAGGACAGGACCTGGTAGTGGGGGTGGGAGGAACAGGCATCTAGGATGAGGACTTAGGACTGGGGGTGTCAGAAGTCCCGTGGGGCTCTTCCTGAAGAGGAGGAAGAACAGACTTGTGTGAGTGTGAAGTATCCAGGGAACATCCAGGGGAAGCCATCAGATGGACACCAAACTGCCTTGTGGCCCACTCTCCTCTTCTGGCTTCCGGCCCCACCACAGCCCAGGGAGGTAGGACAGTGTGGTTTGCACCATTTTGCCAAAGAGAATACTGAAGCCACAGAGGCCAGAGGGATTTTTCAAGGGATCTGGGCTCACAGGGGCAGAATTCCTAGCAGCAGGTGTCCCTAAGGAAATGAGAGCTGGTGGGTACAAGGGTCTCCCGCCTCCTTATTCCCTGTGTCGTCGAGTGCAGGTTTAGCTCCTATAACAGCCCCTGGGAGAGGAGTCTGTTTTCCTCTCATTGTTGCTGAGAGGTGAGTGGTCCAGGCCAGCAGGGGGACTCTGCTCCGTGTGTCCATCAGAAGCCCAAGTTCCTTCCATCTTCTTGCTCTCCATCCCTTAGGATGTTGTCCTCCTCACCTCCTCTTAGGGTCCATCTTCCAGTCCAAGGGAAGTGAGAAAGAGAAAGTCCAGGTTGGGGACTTATCTTTAAGAAGATGACCCAGGGGTCATGCTACAAGGAGTTCTGACATGGTCCTCCACAAGACTGCCCTCACTTCAGACCCCAACTGCAAGCTTGGGGTCCCCAGGCCACCTGCATTTCTGACCTAATGGCTACAAATTTGGGGGTTCTCACCATCCCCTCAAGTTTGATCATTTGCTAGGACTTAAAGGACTCAGGAAATCTGTATAGTTACCATTACAGTTTTATCATAGCAAACGGCTATAGATCAGAACCACCCATACAGAGGGACACATAAGGCGAGATCTGGGAGGGCCCTAAGAGTGAAGCTTGTGTTCTCCCTGTGAAGTCATGGCATATCACCTCCCGGCACATAGATGTGTGACAACACACAGAATATTGCCAACCAGGGAAGCTCGCCTAAGCTTGGTGTGCAGAGTCTTCGTTGGGGTTTCATTGTGTAGCCAAGATTGAAATCAGTGGCCAAGTGATTGAACTCAGTCTCCAACTCCCCATCCCTCTAATCATATGGTTGGTCTTTCTGGCAGGCCAGCCCGAGTCATCTCATTGGCATAAACCATTGAGGGGCCCACCACGAGTCACCTCACCGGCATCAACTGTCAGGTGTGGTCTGAGGAGCTCACCATAAATAACAAAGACTCAAATCACTTGAGAAATTCCAGGGTCACCTCCCAGGAATGCAGACAAATTGTTACACACATACTTAGCACTTCCACTTATGTCCCTTGGCTGGTCTGGGTCACATGGGCCCAAGTGGCTATAGGGAGACTGGAAGATGCATCTTAATTCTAGGCAGCCACATGCCCAGCTAAACATCAGGGAGTTCTGGCACTGAGGGAAGAGGAGAAGGGCTCCCGGGGGACAGTGAGGGGTCTCTGCCCCACCCCACCGCAGGCCCAGGTGGCCAGTGGGGTGACGTGCCAGCGAGAAGGGGCAGTGGCTGCTTCACCATCTCCCCTCCCAATCTCCCCTC